TCGATCAAGTATTACAAAAAAAAAAAAAAAAAATCCTACTGGGACTCGCTGATTCACTGTACGGACTCGGCGATTCCGTACCATGAATCGGCGAGTCACTGTACAGAATCGTCCGGTTCTCTCTAGAACCGGATGATTCCCGTTTTTTCCCCGATTCGATCCGCCCATGGCGATTCCCGAGTCGAACCAGGGCGAGTCCGGTTCGACTAGCCCGTTTTTTAAACACTGGTTCAAACTCAACGGCGTTATAGAAAGGCTCCAGGGCTAACGAGCGCCGTTATTTTTGTTAGGAACTCTAAGCTAACGGCCTGAAGCCGATGAGTAATGGCCGTTGAAATTGAACGATCCGTTATGATGTCGTTTTGCGGAAGCAATTTAGTAAAGATAACGGTTGAAAAACGGGGGTCCAGTAGTCATTGCTGGCCGGTTAACATCGTCGATTTGCATATCCCAACAGACAAACAAAACTGTCGATTTTTGGAAGAAGAAGGACGCTTTTGTTTATTTTAAATATTAACCACTACTAGAAATTATATAAAGAGGACGCAATGTTTGAAATTCCTAAAAGGAACCCTGTCCTTTGGCAAATGACAAGGTTACGTATCAGATAGAAAAGTAGAAAAGTACAAGGAAATTTTCACTTAAAGAAATGTGCCTGGTGGAGGTGCTAGCACTTTTGAGTTACACTTTGTGTTTTTCGGTCTCACTTATACAATCCATTAACATCTTCAAAAAAAATTAATTTTTAAAAAAACGGGAAGAGCATGTACTCCCCACTGTAACATCTTTAAAAAATTAATTCCTAATTTATTTGAAAAAAATGGTAGGGCTTCTACTCCCTACTGAATTATTAGAAAAGAAAAAAAAAGTTTTCATAAGGGTGCCTTAGTTATGAGGTTAATATTCATAAATGTCGCATCCACCTTCCATTTAAGAAATCGATGGTGTGGAGAAATTTTGGCCTATTTGCTTCATATGCTAGTACTATGGTTTATTTGTGTAATTCTCTTTAAAAACAGGTAGCCAAGAGCTTGACAAAATAGTTTCTCCATTTTTAATATTCGGTAATCGTATATTCACAGGCTTGTTTGGATGATAATTAATCTTTAGGTGGATTAAATTATCTGAAAATTACTCAATACAGCATTATTTTGTTAAGTTATTTGGTGCATATATAATATTATATAATATTATTTAATTATTTAACTATTTGGTAATTTTAAACTGTTTCTAGTTATTTTTGGCACCGAACATGTGATTTTTAGTAATATACTTTGAATAAAGTAGAAGCAAATTTTAGGACGATGAGTTTTATAATATATGATTTTTTGAGGGACACTCTACACAAACATAATTCATTATTAGGATTTACTTTTATTGAAACAGTGAATGATCAGCGATAACAAGTAGAAGACATGATACGGTGTAGTAGTTGCTTTTGTTATAATGCAACCACCGGTTAACTCTTAGTTTCAAATATTTTCAATTATTTAGTTACATTTAGTTATCGGTGGCCAGTATAAGAGCTATTCGTAATTGCATGAGTAACTTTGTAGATACTTTAGGTTTATTGTATAATCTGCATGATTCAAGAAACATAAATAGGGATACCAAAGCGTAACGATGTACCATATTACTCTCGCATTACTAACCAAATCTTCACTGTCAATGGATGCTGGATTCCCTATTTACATATCCATTAACATGTACATATCATATGTTGCATATTATAGCAATGGATGGTGGATTCCCTATTTACATATCCATTAACATGTACATATCACATTATGCATATTATAGCAATGGATGGTGGATTGCTTATTTACATATCCATTAACATGTACATATCATATGTTGCATATTATAGCATATGGTGCATTATGGTATATAGTTTTGTTAGGTACATAAAATTAATTATGTTTAAAAAATATGGTTAAAAGTAGTGGAATAAGACATAACGACTTATAATCTCATTAAAAGTATGACTTTTATTAAAGTAAAATAAGATTTTATATAACCTATATCAAATAATTATAAAAAAAAAAAATTCGATAAAAAAACTTAAAAAATTAATTCTAAAGTACGCCAATTATGAAAAAGAGGAAGGTACGAGAGAGTAGATTAATTTTCGCTTAAGCTTGGTAGGTTTTTCCTTTCAACCAATCTCTCTCTGAACCAACACGCGCCAACCGATGATTTCCTATCCTCGACATGTCCGCTCTGTCAGAATCTTCTATACATGTATTTGCCGATTTTTTATTACTTCCTTTTAATTTTTAAGAATCCATTTTCTCCCCAAAATTTATTAATTTAAATAAAAACCTGCTTTTGTACAAGAAAACTCTTTTCCTCTTTTCCACACCTGCCTTCACCTGCTCTGCCCAAATTAATTACTCTCATCGAAAAAAAAAAAGAAAAAAAAAGTTCAAAAAAGCGAAAAAAAACAGAGACGAAAATAAAAAGAAAAGCCGGGAGAAAAGAGGGAAAAGTAAAAGAAAGAAAAGTTAGGGTTGGATGTTAGGGTTTTACTGAGCGTCCAGCCTTCGTAACTCTCAACTCTCTCTCTCTCTCTCTAACACTGTTTTGACCTTTAAAGCCATTTCCTCAACAAGAACCCATCCCCTTGGTCCCTTTCTTTGTCTCTCTCTCTCTCTTCCAGGTCTCTGCTCAAAATGGCGTACCACAAAACTGCCATTCAGTTCAGAAAACCGGTTTTCTGAACACAAAAACCACCATGGCCGCTGCTCTCCCTCTCTCTCTCCTCCTCTTCATCCTTGTTTCCACTCTTCCTCTCTCTAAACCCGATCTCGAAGGTGACAGAGCCGCCCTACTCTCCCTTCGAAACTCAGTAGGCAGAGCCCTTCAATGGAACCAGTCTCAGAGCCCATGTTTATGGCAGGGCGTCACGTGCGAAGGCAACCGCGTCACGGTCTTACGTTTACCGGGTTCTGGCCTTGCGGGTCAGATTCCGGTGGGTGCTTTCGGAAATCTGACACACTTACGAACCTTGAGCCTTCGTTTCAATGCACTTTCAGGCCCTCTTCCCTCTGATCTCGCCCTGTGTACGGATCTCCGAAACCTCTATTTTCAACATAATCAGTTCTCGGGTGAAATCCCACCGTTCATTTCGAGGTTGCAGAATCTGGTGCGCCTGAACCTCGCCGGAAATAACTTTTCCGGCGAAATTCCGGCCAGTTTAAACAGCCTGACGAGGTTAGGCACGCTCTATCTCGAGGACAACAAGTTCACTGGCGAAATCCCACAGTTGGATCTGCCCTTTCTCATGCAGTTTAACGTCTCGTTCAATGCATTGAACGGCTCGATTCCTGCCAAGTTGGTCAAGCACGGTTCCACGGCGTTCGAGGGGATGAGCCTTTGTGGCCCCCCACTCGCCGATTGCCCTAAAACTACGACCGACACTCCGATAAATTCTGGCAGTCACAGTGGTCGGAAAAAGTTTCCGGCTGGTGCCATTGCCGGAATTGTTGTAGGCGCGGTCGTAATTTTGCTCCTGATAGTTTTGGTGATCTTGTACTCCAAGAGAAAGAGGAGCAGCAAGAGAACCAGAGCCGTCGATATCTCCACGATGAAGGGCACTGATGTTGCGAGTGACAAGGCATTTCCAGGGGACGGAGAGGGTGGAAATATTCATGGTTCGGCAGCGGCAATTCCAAAAGAGGAGACAGTGAGTGGTTTAGTTCCTAAACCTGAGATTAGTGGTGGTAAAAAGCTGGTTTTCTTTCCTGGTGCTCAGAGGACATTTGATTTGGAGGAGTTATTAAGGGCTTCAGCTGAGGTTTTGGGTAAGGGTAGTTTTGGAACTGCATATAAAGCAGTTTTAGAGATGGGTACTGTAGTTGCAGTGAAGAGGTTGAAAGATGTGGTTATTGGGCACAGGGAATATGCCCAACAAATTGAGAAGGTGGGTTCAATGACCCATGAGAATTTGGTGCCCCTCAGAGCTTATTACTTCTCCAAGGATGAGAAGCTTCTTGTCTATGATTACATGCCAATGGGTAGTCTCTCTGCTCTTCTTCATGGTAAGCTTTTGGGCTTTCCCCTTTTTATTGTTTGTTATCTTTTCATTGTTTCAAATTTTTAGTTTTGAGTTGATCTTTCTAGTCTCTTTATTTGGGGTTTTTGAGATCTTCATAATTGTGATGATTTGGGGTGGAAAATGGTGTTCTGTTTCTTAGTTTTTATGAGAACAGAGGATGTGAGGTAATACTAAGACAATGCTCACTCTTTGTTCTTAAATAATAATTGGGTGGGTGGGTAATCGGTTATTTTGTTAATTATTTGATGGTATTTGAGGTGCAATTTCGAAATAGTTTCGAAAAAGATAGAGATCATGTTGCATTTTTGTGGGCTCTTGTCTTCCTCCAATTCTTTAAAAAATGAGGAGATTATATGTAGATAAGATGCATTTTGGGGATTTATATAAATTGATTTGTTATATTGGTTGTTTTGTTGATTTATTTCCCAATGTTATTGTGATATTTTAGAGAAGGTGCATTTTGGTATTATTTTTTAAAACTATTGGGGCTTATTATCTTTTGGGGTTTTGTCTCCCTTTGCATTAGATAAGGTGCATTTTGGAGTTATCTTGTAAATAATGTAAATTTGGGGTTTTCTCGTCGTCTGTGTCTGTTCTTGGGATAGGGAAAGGTGCATTTTGAAGATTACTGGGAAGCTATGGAGATTGATTTGTTTTTTTTGATGGAGGATTTTCTTTTTGGTATGAGGATTAGAGGTGCATTTGAGATTAGAAAATCAAGCTTCTCATTTTAGGGTTGGTTTATTTTTTTCGAGAAATAAAATATTTTTTTTTGAGAAATTTTATGGTGGGTTTATTTGGTGAAATTTACTGTGATTCTTGAAAGAATCTTGTTAATAAAATTAGACGTGAATTTTTTTTTCTTTACCTTTCTCCTCTCCTTTGTATCTTTTGGGGGAATGTCACTGGAAAATGCCAATACACATGTGCTACAGAAAGGGCTCTTCAAAAATCATTTTTGTTGACCCAGCACTATAGATAAAAAATAGCACAGAAATGGAGGCCCCAATTTGTCCTGAAACCCCAATTTTCTTGTGCAATCAATTTTTTGGGATAAGGTATGCTCGATTCAAACCCACGAGTGTTACAGAAAGGGCTCTGACCATTTTCAGTGTTAAGTTTTCCATTGTCCCGCTTTAAGGAAATAAGGAGGGTGACCAAATTTTCCTTGGAAATTGATCTGTATTTTTATCTTTTACAGAACCTGAAAACCCTGCAATTTGTTATTCCCACTTATCAGAATCTTCTCTTTCTGTAAATTACGGTATGAGATCACAGGAAATCCATTACCGCAATAAGAAAATCCATTTCCATTTTAATGTATTTTGGTTGGAGTTGGTCTTTATCTCGATGTTTCTACACTCCAACCTGAGAAATGGTCACAATTTATCATGTTACTTGCTAGGAATCTTCTCTTGCTGTATATTACATACTGAAGCATCAGGAATTCAATTATCAATGATATATAAAATACACCGAAAATCACCGCCATAGTTGAGAATGCACATGAAGTGAGCTCTATTTTCATTTTATTTTTGATAGTTACTAAATAAGCTCGTTTAGACACATTTTATCATAAATTTTGCCCTGTTTTGACAGGCAACAGGGGGGCAGGCCGCACGCCTCTCAACTGGGAGACACGCTCGGGCATTGCACTGGGTGCCGCTCGTGCCATTGAGTATCTCCACTCACAGGGCTCTACTGTCTCCCATGGCAACATCAAGTCATCCAATATCCTCCTTACAAAGGACTATGAGGCTCGTGTCTCTGACTTTGGCCTGGCTCAGCTTGTGAGCTCTTCCGCCTCCCCCACCGCCAACCGTGTTATTGGCTACCGCGCCCCTGAGGTCACTGATGCCCACAAAATCTCTCAGAAAGCCGACGTATACAGCTTCGGCGTCCTGTTGCTTGAATTGCTCACTGGAAAACCCCCCTCCCACTCTTTAACCAATGAAGAAGGGGTGGATTTGCCAAGATGGGTGCAATCGGTTGTTAGAGAGGAGTGGACAGCCGAGGTTTTCGATTTGGAGTTATTGAGATACCAGAATGTGGAGGAGGACATGGTGCAGCTTTTGCAGCTTGCAATGGACTGTGCGGCACAATACCCTGATCAGAGGCCATCGATGCGAGAAGTGGTGCAGAGGATTGAGGAGCTTAGGAAGAGTTTGATTGATGAAGCGGAGCATAATTCGTCACAGAGGACGACTTCAGTTAATGACTCGGCGCCGCCCCCCTCTGTTCTTGATTGAGAGGGTGGGTGTGGGAGAATAGGGCCCTCTGTTATGCGATTCGGTTGTTACTCTCCCTCGCTGTTCACATTGGTTTGCTTCGTTAGTACACAACTCACTCTCTTTCTCTCTCTCTCCCTCTGTCTCCGTCTCTCTGGAGCTCCAGCTCGATGGCTCGGGCATTGTTGGTTAATTTGGTTGGATCAACAACTGTGTATCATGGTTGGTTTTAGCATCTTTTTTACCTTTTCGATTGTTTGGAGAGCTTTACTTTTATATAAACTTGGTTTTTTCTTTCGCCCGCCCTGTTCAGCGCTTTCGTTTGATGTTTTAATCCTTTATTCTTTGGGCCAATAACAGTAAATTGTATGTTTTTGTTCTACAAATGAGGCCCCCCGCCCCGACATTTGGCTCGTCTCCTATCTTTTGATGACCTCGGGACCAGGCATCCAGAAAAGGAGTTATTATAGAGGGTTACTTTCGTCAACACGTTCACGTTCTGTCTCTCTCTTTGTCTCTGTCTTGGTTCGTTGAATGGGGAAACGTGCGGTGATAATTAAATGCAAATTACTCTGTAATTAATAATCGGCATGCGCTTCCCTTATTTCGGGGTTAAAGGCTTAAAGCGGCATTTGTGTATATTAGATAAGGGTGTTATGGTAATTTATGGTGGTGTTTTATTTTCGTGGGTATTTTAAGCGGGACCGTGCTCTCCGGGTACTGCCTGATGTGGCGCGATATTCCTGCTTTTCTCTCTGCAATTAGGACCGGACCAGCTGGCTGGCACTGTTGCATTTAGTCAATGGGAGGCCACCACGTGTGCTGGTTTCATAGCCAAATAGGGGGGGTCGTTAAAACTTCGAAAGTAGGCGTCATGTGCTTTCAAGGGCAGAGAGTGTTGACGGCCGTTTACTTTCTAATTTCTCAATCCATTCGCCTGTTTCCCTACACGATATTTATTATGGTTTCGCTGCATGATATTTTATTATAAGGAACAAGTTTATATAAGGTTCCAACCTTACAATGTAGAAGGACTATATATGCGCGTAAAAAATCCTGGAAAATATTATTTTAATGCTGAAAAAACTTTTAAATGATCATCTCGACATTGAGATTAATGAATACGAAAAAAAAAAAAAGATTTTAAGTTCCAAAAATAGTGTATCTTGCAACATATTATCTAGACCGTTCATTTTTAACTATTTCATATGTTTATAGATCTATTTGATTTTAACTATTTTTGGAGTTTAGAATTTTATAATTAGATATAAAAATAGATTGTTAGATAATCTTAAGAATTTTTTACACCAAAATTATATATTATGATAAATTTTGGAGGAGCGTTTTAATTTGATTGTTTAAAGTTACAACATTGTAGAAATCACACCCTTATTATAATGAGATTGTATAAAGGTATATATCATGGAAATTTATACATACAGTTGCAACATTGTAGAAACCACACCCTTATCATAATGAGATTGTATAAAGGTATATATCATGGAGATTTATGCATACAGACCAACTTTTGTACAATGAGGTTACAATCGCTCTCATCCTTTCCATTTCAAATTGTTTCGACTCAAATTGTTTCGATTTCAAATTGGGTGGTTATAAGAATCATTGAAAATACTTAAAGTTCAAAATAAAATAAAATTATAAGACTTCATGACTAGTCTAAGCGATCCAATTTGACATTAAATGATTAGGAGTGATTATGACCTACTTGTAATAAAGATAAATATTCTCATTATATACAAATCTCATATACCATACAGTTTACTTTCCTGCATAGAGTTAATTAACATACCAAGGCATGAGAAGTGAAATCAAACGGTTGGGTGTATTAGCTCTCTTTTAAGAAATACTTTTAGGCGTTTTGTACGCAGCAAATCGTACATCCCAACCTCTTGATTTCACATATGAGGGCTTGGGGCATTTGTGATTTTCTCTTAGCAAGAGTAAAGAGCGTCATCGGATGCTATTGTTGTGCGCCGAAGCTTTAAACCCGATAGGTTACTTCTTTGGCAAATAAAGTACGAGAAATAAAACATGAAATGCATACACAAAAACACAAATATTTATGTGGTTCACCCAAGAAGCGGTAGCAAACCTTTTTAAACCGCTCTCATTTTTTTCTTTTTACTTCTGGCAACCATTACCGACAACATCATGTAGAGACTTGAGAACAACGAGAAACTGACTTTCTCTCTAATTTAAAAATGGGAAACAACCCAAAATCTGGAAACCATTACCGACAATACCAAATAGAGACGCGAGAACAACGAGAAACTGACTTTCTCTCTAAATTGAAAAAGGGAAACAAACCAAAATCTGGCAACCATTTACCGACAACATCAGATAAAGACATGAGAACAACAAGAAACTGACTTTCTCTCTAACTTGAAAAAGAGAAACAATTCAAAATCTATGTGGGAACTATCACTAAGAACAAGCCTATCAATTTCTAAGAGTTTACAAAAAAACCATCATTCCCATATAGTGACCCAAATATGGCATACAAATTCTCTACACTTCATCTCATATATCTATATAAGATTAGGAATCCATATTAAATAGGAAATTTCATATTAATGTTACATATATCTCAAAAGACCAAGAGATATATTTAAGAGTTCTAATTCTATTGGATTTTTATTTCCTTTAGGAAGCTTATCAATATCAATCTCACATAATAAGTAAATGTCTCAATTCCACATAATATGTGAATATCTCAGTCCCATATAATATGAGATTTTCTTATGTAGGTGATTTTGGATAACACTAAATCCAATAGTTGTGCCTCTATTTGTTTGATAGCAATATTTGCCTGGTTTTCCACCAAAATTTTAATGTATTTAAAAGGAGTATGAATCTCGCAAGAAGCAAATGATTCGGAACAGGGATAAGGAACTAACTTAGTTTATTGGCTTTTGATAGAGTAAAATAATGGATCATGATTTATAGCTGACCCCAAATAGTCGAAAAAAAGTTATGATGATGTATGTTCCCCGTCTCTTTGCAAAATTGTGCTTAATTTCATATCACAAATATCAACAAACCTCTCTCTAATGTTCGCTAAAAAAAATGAAGACCGGAGCTTTATGGGAGGCCCTCTTTGTGCCTCTGTCAGAGGTGTTCCAGAAATGTCTGCGATCGAGTAAATAGCTCTACAAACTAATGGATAGGATCGAGTTGGAAAATGGAAAGATTTGTACAAGTTATACCCACATGAAAGGGCGTAACGATCTAGGCATTTTTTCGAAAAGAGGCTCGGTGAAATAGACATGTATGTGAAGATGTGGACTACCAGCCACCAGGACGGAAAGGCCCTATGAAGCTTTAAGTTAAGTTATATACCTGATTGCCCTCTAAAATTTTCATTCATTTAAGAGGAGTATGAATATCACAAGAACGAATTGGTTGGGAATGGAGTTACGAAATTAGATCAAAAGGAAAGTTATCAAAATATCGGTAAAAGATTAGCTATTTAGCGTTTTACCTGGATTGATTTAATTTTGAAACATATAATTATAAATTAGAATAATGGCGAATGCGGCTAATGATAAATGATCCATCTCTAGTGAATAATTTGATAATTTTTTTTTAAATTAACTTAGAATGACAGTTACAGGTTGGAAGTCAAATCACCAAATGGCCCCGCAAAACACCATGTCAAAGGCATGTAGAGCCGCGAGAATGAGAGGGAGAGAGAACAGAGGTC